GAAGTGGGGCGCAGGCAGCCATAGCCGGGCTGCTGGGCGCCAGGAGGTAAGAGGGTGATCTGGTGGTCTTCAGGGAAGGAGGCGAGTGTGGGTTCTTTAGGTCTGGTGAGGGCGATGAGATACGTACCTTGTGCATGAAGAGAGGTCGGCTATGGTATTGACATCATATACATTGGTCTTCGAGAGTCTAAGTGAGCCTGTTGCGTGAGCACAGCTGGAGGTAGAATAGTCGAGTAGAGTAGGCTAGGCGCTGGGCGCCAGACAGAGAGGAGCGACTTGGATGCTGTGTTGGTGTGGCCTACGGGCTTGAACATTGGCTCATTACTTCATTGTATTGGCTCATTACTTCATTGTATTGGCTCATTACTTCATTGTATTGCTCTATTTGCATGGATTCTCGGTGCAATTGTGCTCTCTGCTTGGACATGACTACTCAGACAACTTTAGACAACTTAGTTTTCTGTATATCGTTCACACTCATATTCCTTGCATTTATCTTTTTCCGGGACTTGTATTTTTTTCCCCCCTTGCCAGTTGTTGTCTTGCCTTGCTTTTTGCGCCCGTGTGGTGTGCCCCTCTGCCTCCCCCCTGTCCTCTAACCTATATATTGCCTTAATGCTTATTGCCTCTCTGTCTCTTTTCTGCTTTTTATTGTCTTTCCCCTGCCTTTAGACTCAGCTCAACTCAGATGTGTATTCTCCTCCTGCCTTTTGTGCCTCTGTGGTATGCCTCAGCGTCCCCGTCCCCTCTAGCTATGTATTGCCTTGATGCTCATTGCCTCTCTGTTTCTTTTCTGCTTTTTATTGGGGTCTTTTCCCTGCCTTTCGCCTCGACTCGACTGAACTCAGATGCGTATTGTCCTCCTGAGGGGTTGTGATGGTATGGTGCATGGTCTTTACCGTGCTGCACCTCAATGTGTTCACACCATACTTGCGGCGCGTGGTGAACTGCGCTGATCCCAGGTCCGCGCGCACACACAAAAAAAAAAACAAAAAAAAAACGTGGTGTGTATACACGCTGGAGAGAGAGAGAGAGAGAGAGAGAGAGAGAGAGAGAGAGAGAGAGAGAGAGAGAGAGAGAGAGAGAGACAGAGAGAGAGAGAGAGAGCACAGAGCCCTTTCACATTATTCATACAACCCCTTACTTGCGGCGCGTAGGTGAACTGCGCTGTGCAGTACGCTGTGTGGTGCGCAGTGCGCTAATCCCAGGTGCGCGCGCAAACAAAAAAAA